AGCCGCCGCCCCTCGGAGTGGCTCCCGCGCCGCGAAGGGGCCGAGCCCCAGAGGCGCGCGCAGGAGGCGTGGGGCGAGGTGCGCGGCCGCACTGCGCGCCTAACAAAGCGGGCGGGAAGTTTGCGGTTCGGCGTGCGCGGCAGCTCCCAGCAGGCCTCGCACACCCCCGGGGCCATCAGTGAGCCCGGGCTGTGCGTGTGGGGTAAACTGAGGCGCAGAGCGCTCCAGTGGAGGGGCTGACCCTCCGTAGGGAGAGTTCTGCGCCCCTCGCTCCTCCCCGCGCCTTGGAGGAAGAGAGGCCGGAGCCCTGTCGGTCTGATTTCTCCTCCAGATGCCCCTGGAGGCTCCAACTCCTGCCTTTCTTTAGAGTCTGGAGCCCTTGGCTCCAAGTCCAGACGGTGCCCGCCCCTCCCCCAGCCCGGCGGGGCGGAAGCCGCCTCCCTCGGTCCGCGCCGCCGCCGGCTCCCCCGGAGCAGAGCTGCGCCCGCCCCCGGTGAGGACCCCCGGGTCACCCGCGCGGCCGCAGCAGAACTGCACCGAGAAGCTTCCCAGCCCTGGGGAGCGCGCTGAAGCGCGCTGTTAGGAGGAGCCCCAGGGCCCCTCCACGGGGTTTGGGGGGAGACCCAGAACAGCCTCCCGCGGGCACCGGGTGTTTCTCCTTGTGGCTGGGAGCGCAGGGAAGGCAGTGACCCCAGGTTGGGTCCCTTGGCCTGGGAACTTAGTATCCCGCTCAGCCCGCCTCCAACTTCCCTTCGGTGAAGAAGAGAAGTGGCTTCCCTGTTGGACCCTCTTCCTCGCTTTCTTCTCCCCCCACGTCCTACTCCAACTGCTGTCTGCTCTTTCTCCCCACACGCAAGACCGAACCGGTGCCCGCTTCCTGGCTCGGACGCAGGCGCGGAGAGCCAGCCAGGTGCAGCCTGCTCCGGCAGCGATCCCACCTCACCAGCCGCCCCCACCCCAACGTCCAGCAGCTATCTTGTTCGCAAGAGGCGCTAGCAAAGTGGGGCTTCTGCAGCGGTCCCAAGCGGGAGCATCGCTGTAAGGAGTGGGGTGGTGAGATGGGAGCGAGGCCGCCCTTTACGGGGGGCTCCGGGCTTACAGAGAAAGGAGCCCCGGGCCAGGGCGGGCGGGGCGAGGCCGCATCCCCGGAGCCCGGTTCTGACGCTGCTGAGGGGAGCTCTGGGCACAGGTGAGATTAGCGAGCAGAAGCGAGGTGCTCTAAAGGCCCAGAAGCCACCCGGAACCACAAATCAAGAATAGCTGAAAGAGGGAAAAAAAAGACCCTGAAAACACCCAGATGTATAATTAGCATTGACACTGGCTTCCCCCCACCCCAAGCCAAAACCGTGGGTGCCTCTGCCCCATGCTCTGCTGTGGAGCTGGCGGCCCTGGGGACCGGGCAGCTGGTTTCAGAGCTGAGGGCTGGGGAGCTCCGGACCAGGGCTGCACCTCTCACCTCCCCAAGCTTCCTTCCCCTGCTGCCTCCGGGCTGCCCAGAGAGTGACCTCTGGCTCTCTGGTAGAACCCCGAAATTCTACAATTTCAGAGGGTCTCAGACTCCTGAACTTCGTGAAGACCTCCCACGCAAGAGGGAGGCTTGAATCCGGGAGGTGCGGAGACCGGTCCAGGTTAGTGAGTGTAGCTCCCCCACTTCCCTTGGTATCTCTGTGCTAACCAGGTCAGCCTTCACCTTTAAGCGCACCCAAGGGGCAGCGCGGCCCTCCCTGCCACCGTCTGTAAATCAGAGGCCAAGACTATTCAGAGCCTAAAAGTTGGGCCTGGAATACAAGTGGCTTTTTTTTTCCCAGAGAGATACCAAGTGGCCACCCTCAGCCGCTCTCTGCCTTTCCTCCCCCACCCCCACAAGCTGGGGAAAGAACAGCCTTTACCTTGCAGTGATAATTAAGGCCAAAGTGGCCCACCATTGTGTCCCTGTCCTGGAGCCGTCTGAGTCGCTTCCGTTCCGTCCCGGTCTCCTCTTTTGAAGTAGGCCGGGCCTGGTGTTCTGATCAAGGCTGAATTTCGGCCTGAATTTTCGCAGAGTGGAGGAAGGCGCTTTAGTGTGAAATAACCTGGGTATTAAACAATCATAATGACCAAAAAATAACCACTGAACTGGGAAGGTAGCTTAGCCCTACAGCATTTGTGTAGCTCCAGTGGGGCCCTCCTTGGATTCCTACCATCACAAAGACAGTAAAAACCAAAAAAAGCAACCTCCTCCAGGGTGAACTCCCCAGCCTGTGCTGCCCCTTGAGTTATCAACGGGCCCAGCGCTGCGGCCCCCCCAGGGGCGGGCCAGAGTGCTGGGCATTCCTTGATGCAGCAAGAAGTCAATGCTCAGAGGACCCAAGCTTTGAAAGCAAAGAGGGCACAAATTTCCACTCGTTCATCCTCTTACCTCTTCTGTAGTCTCTTCCCTCCTTGGCCCTGGGGACCCCGACTCCTGGATTGTGAGGTGAACCAACCGCAGGGAACGTGGGTCCACACGGCCTGCCGCTTCCTCTCTCCTGCGCTCCTGCTGGGCGCGGAGAGGCCCTGCCCGGCTGATCCCGCTGCAGCTCCCGGGGGAGACTGCGGCGTCACCGTCGAGGAGTGGTCGGGAAGTCGTGACGAGGGAAGGGAGACCGCTGGGACGCCGGTCCTGGGTGATTCCCCAGCACAGCCCGCGCGACGATCTGACGGCTTGCTCCAGGGCTCTGTCCCCCCGCCCCCGGGCCGAGCTCACAGCGAGGATCTCGGTGCCATTTTTGTGCCGGGCGCTGACCCGTCCACGCTTACTGCGGACCACAGGACCCAAAGGCCGGGAATAGGGAGGTGGCCTCGCCTTCACCTCCGGAGAAGTCTCGGGGACCTGGGATTGCGCGCTCCAGCGCAGGCCGGGGAGGTTGGCACCGCAGGGGGTTCAGCGGGAAGCCAAAGAGGGCCTGGCTCGCCGCAGGAGTCCCAGCAGTTGGGGGTGCAGAGGGCAGGGACCTACTAGAGGAGTGTTAGAAACGGGGCTTTCAGATCCCCCTTGGTGCCCTGGAATTTAAACGTGATAGAGATGGTAGTTACGCAGGTCCATCCTGACTCTGCGGCCCCACAGCCTCGGCTCAGGGATGGGGGCCGATGAGTGGGGAGGAGGCTCTACCCAGGCCCCAGCTCGGGGCGTGGCTGCGGGCTCCCCGATCCCTGCACCCTGGCGGAGAAGCTTCTGCCCGATTTTGTGCCCATGTGAGGACTGGGTCAGGGTCTTAGCGCGCCTGGATACCTCTGCTCCCTCCAGGCGCCAGTCCCTTTCGCCCCTTTCCCAGCCCTGGGTCTCCTGGTCCCGGGAAGTCACCGTCCTCCCCACCCTTAGGCAGCGAGCTAGCGAAAGCCACCCGGCCCGGGACAGAGCAGCACCTCCATCCTCCGGAGCCGGCCAATTAATCAGAGCGTAAGGAGCCGGAGGAGTTGTAATGCGGCGGCTTGGAACGAGGGGGCGCTAACGAGGTCGTTAACCTGCGGTAAAGATGGGAGCGGTCTCGCCTGGCCGCCCCTGCGTCCCTGGGGCCCTTCGGTCGCCCGGGTCTGGGCTGCTTCCCCGTCTGCCCCGTTGTTTCACTTCTCTGTCCTGCCCCATCTCGTTTTCTGGCGGTCCCCTAGGAGCACCCTTTCTCTGTGCGTGCTTCTAGTTCTTTGCACCGCTGTCCCTTGTAACCTTTTAGGGGCCCGTTTGAAGCCGAAAGAACTTAGAGGTCCTGGGGATCGCCCCTGCCTCGGCTCAAGGGCCGCAGTCGAGGCCAGGCTGTCGTTGTGGGAACTGGAGGCCCCCCAAGTTCCCAGCCCCACCATGCAGAAAGGGGGAAGGGGAAGACGGCTCCTGAAACTTTCAGCTGGGGCCAGGTCAAGACGTGGCAGGGAGGGGCGGCAGACGTCCAGGCTCAGGGCAGAAGCTCAGCCCAGGTCGTTTTGATTAGAGCCGCAGACATGGCAGTGTGTCCTCGCCTGGCACGTGTGGTATGTAAGGCAGGGATGGGGCTTGGGGGCCGCCTTGCCTCAGTTCTGGTGTTTTCAGGCAGGCACTTAAAAATATCAATTTTTTTTGTTTGTTTGGTGGTACCGGGAACTGAACTCAGGACCTTGCACTTGCCAGGCAGGCACTATACCACTGAGCTATATCCCTGGCAGCCTTGGGATTTCAGCACATGATAGGTGAGCAGGTGCCTGAGGGGCCAGGGAGGGGCTGGTGACAGTGACCTCTCTGACCTCCTGCTGCACATGACAGTCCCCTTTCATTTGTCTGATCAGAAGCCCAAGTCCATTCACCTCCTCCCTCTGCATCCTATTTTTGGTTGTTTTTTTTTTTTTTTTTTTTTCAGGAGAGGGTCTCACTGTGCAGTTCAGGCTGGCCTTGAGCTCATTTTGTAGGTCTCAAACTGGTCTCGAACTCACAGTGATCCTCCTGCCTCAGCCTGGTGAGTGCTGAGATTACAGGTGTGTGGCACCACATCCAGAATTTTTGGCCATTTGTAGGCAAATGGTGGAGGGGTTCTTAGCATGTTGGGGTCCCCCCTTGATACTTCAAATTTTGATCAGAAGTGCTGATCCTTCCCAACCCAGTGTACTCACGTAATATCAAAGTCCATAAATTTAGAAGGTTCACACTCCTTTCTCAGAGTTCCTCCTTGGATGAATCAAGGACCTTGTGTTTAGAAAACACTGAGACCCAACACAGTCGGTTAATGTGGGCTCCTCGGGGAGTCCGTGTCTCCTTCTGGAGAACAGGAGGACGGGAGACAGAAAAGCTTCCCTGGGGAAGTTGATCTTGCACAGCAAGTGTTGGTACCAACTGCCCGGGGACGTTACACTTGGGCAAACGCCCATGTGCTAAAACCCTGCTGGAAATGTAGACTGTCTGCAAACCGTCCTCTGGCTAACCCTTCCAGCCAAGAATGTTCCTTTACGTCCCTTATGGATTCATCTATTGGGTTTTCTCAGGATCCCCAATTTTTTTTTTTTTCCTTTGGTTCTTTGAGAAAGGGTCTGTTATATGTGCCAGGCTGGCCTTGAACTCACTATGTATCCCGGGCTGGCCTCGAACTCGCAGTAATCATGATCCTCCTGCCTCAGTCTCCCAAGTGCTGGGTTTACAGGTGTGTGCCACCACGCCTGGCTAAGGGCCCCAATTCTGCATGGGTTGAGGACCCAAGCCAAGTTCAGAGGTTGGGGATGTGAAACTCTATGCTAAAGGATTTGCTCCTAAGCATTCTGATAATCTTGTGTAGGAGCCAAGCAGTAGGTAGTCCCCCGACAATCCTGGGGGCCCCCCCTCGTTTCACCAGCTTTATGTGTTGTGGTTGATTTCCACATAAATTCCAGAAGGACTTGGGTCTGCCCTAGTTTTGTAAAAGTGGCCTGGTCTCCTCGCCCAGGAGAAATGACAGCACGGGGTCTCCCAGAAGGAAAGGCAGGCTTGTTTGAAGTCTGAGAAGTGAACAGATTTTCTTTTTCTGGGGCCGTGTTCAGACAAATTAGGGAAACTGGAAGTTATCTGGTCTACTGTACCGCTCCCTCCACACGCCACGCAGCCCAAGGGCTCCTGGGTCCCCCAGTTGTCTGTCTTCTCTGCTTGAAGCAGAGGGGACTGGGAGACCCCAACCCATTCTGGGCTGCCACAGTGACCCCCTGCCAGCCCAGCCCTTCTGATCTGTGACCGGAAGCCAATAGCTGGCTGATGGTATTCAAACCCCTGCTTGAAAATAAAAAGGGAAAAAAAAATAAACAACTTTCTGCTTGGGACACTTTAAACTGAATAACTCTGGCCGTGAAAACCTGACCTAAATGCTTTTAATCAGAGCAGAAGAAACATATGCCCATTTGCTCCTCGCTTTACTAATTAAAGGGAGCTAATTGGTATTTTTCGGGAACTTCCAACTGGGGGTCAGGAGCCTCTAGACATCTTTTCTCCCCTCCCTGCTCTGCTAGATCCCGCCCTCCCCCACAGGGCCGCCCCCACCGTGGAAGTGGCCTCTTTCCCGCAGACAATGGGGAGGGGGGTGCCCCAGGCCCTCTGGCTCCACCTCTGCATGGAACTTTGGTCCTGGAAAAGAAACGCTGCCATTGGCGGGAAGTTGTCACCCCCTGCAGGGCTGTCCCCCTTCTCCTGGCCCTGGACTTGTTCCTGGAGCTGCCAGGCCAGCAATGCCAGCTGTGGGGTGTGGCTCCCACAGTGCTGAGCTCAGCCCAGCACCGCACACAGTAGGTGCTCAGTAAGTGCTTGCCAAATGCCGAGTAAAGCTCCCCGCCAGGCGAAAGTCTGTGTCTTGTGTGGAGAATTTGTGGAGCATCTGGGGAGCTCCGAGGCCTCGTGGCTGCCCCAGGAAGTGGGCAAGACCTGCTTTTTCTGAAGCGGTTCTCAGAGGCTGTTCAGTTCCAACCCTCTGTCCCCTTCTTCTCTTTTCATTTGCTGAGGCAGGATGGCTGCTGTCACCCCAGCGAAGGGAAGGGGTTCACCCCATGCCCGGTGAATGCTCGCCACCACTCCCCTGCCCTTCTCCCGGGAGATCCAGATACGTCAGGCTGCAGGGAGTTTGAACCTGAAATGAGCCAGATAATTGCCCCAATTCTCTGATCCTTATTGAAGAGGTAGTTACAGGCCCAGGGGTTCAAGGGGCCTCACTTTTATGGACATCGGTCTAAGTCAAAAGAATACATTACACACAGGCAGGCTGACTCACACCCCTAACCCTGACTGGGGCTCTGAGAACAAAGCGGGCCTCCTCCCCCTCTTGCCCTCCCCTCCCATTCCCGCTCCCGGGCGCCTCCCCCTGCCCCGTCCTTCCCTCCCCCTCCCCTCTCCTCCTGCTCCTCCCCCTCCTCGTCCCCTTCCTCCTCTTACGCAGTTACTATTTATTAAATGACCCCCACGCACTGGGCATCTGGTCGACCTCAAGCACACAGCACGTCCATGAATCCCTGCAACAATTTTAAGAGTGAAGACCTCCAGATTTTGCAGATGTGGAAATTCAAGAGTTACCTTTCGGGGCGTGAATCCTGTGTGTTTGTGCGCGTGCGTGTGTGCGAGTGTGTGTGTGTGCGAGTGTGTGTGTGCGAGTGTGTGTGTGTGTGTTTGATGGGATACGGATATGAATGTTCAAGGATGTCACGGGGATGGAAATAAAATTGAGAATGGGAAGACCTAAAAGTTTTGAAATATTGAACGGGCTCGTAGGAGGCAGACAGCTTGCCCTGCCCTGCAGTGAACACAGAAGCGAAGCAATTAGCTGGCTCATTCCGAGACCCAAATGCTTTCCCTGGAAATGGGCGGATAATGAGGCCGCCAGCATGTTCGCGGTCGCGTTCGCCGGATGCTGCCGCGTTTCCCCGAGCGCCGGGACCGCGGGCGCACGCGGGGGCCGCCCTGCACCCACGCTGCCCACCCGCGCACGCTGGCGCGGGAACGCTGACGCACGCAGCCCGCTCCTTCTGCCTCCAGAGCCCTTAATGACTCAGCCTTGGGAATGAAAATGGGGTTTGGAGGGGGAGATAATGTGCCCGGGGCCGGCTGGGGCGCAGCTGCGCCAGATGTGCGCTCACTAATTAGGCTTCCGAGAGAGCCGGTGCCCGGCTGGGAAACGCACCTCTCTTGGGACCCCAGACCCGGGCAGCGGGCACCACACCACGGTAGGCGCCTGCCCTTCGCTGCCTGCTTCTGGGGTCCCGGGGCCCTCTATCGTTCCCTGCCCTGCGGAGGCTCCCTGGCCCCTCTGTCCTGGGAATAGCCTTGCCTGGGCTCCTCGGTATAAACGGGCCCTCTGCCACGCGGGGAGGGAGGAGGGACCCTGGTCCCTCCCGTCCCGCACTGCCCAGATCCTGGGTGACTCCGACCTCAGATTCAGGCAAGCCGCGTCCGGAGGAAGGGCTGTCTTTATCTGCCCCACCCAGGACTTCATCCAGAGGTGCCCCTCCGGCCAGGCCGTGACCCGCCGCAGGCCCCAGCTGCGCAGGTCTGAGGTCTGTGAAGTAGCCGGCGTGAGAAGCAGTCTTTACCCCCGCGGCCACATGCAAAAGAGCTCAAGCTTCACAGCACCCCTGTCCCGTGGGTCCTTCTCCTCCGGGCCTTCGCGGGGCCTGGGCCCTTGGCAGGACGAGCAAGAGAGCTTGTAAACTGGCTTCTCCTGGAAGGGAGGGGCTGGATCTGTCCTGGCTCTTCTGATCCTGACAGCGCTGCCCCCGTTTCCACCTCCAGTGTCCTTAGGCGCTGCCCCAAATTGGGAATCCAGGAAACCCCAAACTTCCAACAAAGACAGCTCCTAGAGGCTGTCATGGGGTGGTTAGCAGCTCTGATCGCAAGCTACCCACTTCACTTCCTCAGCACCTGGGCCTCCTCCGAGTTGCAAGAGGGGGTCAGAGGGGCTCTGGAGAGATAAAAGGGGGTTCGGGCAGCTGGGATGGGGCGAGGGCGGGGGGCTGCTGGTTAGCTGTCCCTTCCTATGCGGGCCGCACTCCTCTAATTCTGTTTCTCTTGCTTGGCAGAGGGCGCCAAAGGCGACGCCGGCGACCAGCTCCAGGCCCAGCGCAGTGGCCTGCAGGACCGGGCCCTTTCGGCGCGGGCCGGGTAGGCGACCCCAGGGCGCCGCCTAGAGGTCGGTGGCGGCCTCGGCCTCCTCGCCGGCGACAGCTGCCGCCAGAAACTGCAGGCCAACGCAAACCAAACAAAAACCAAATCAAACAAGACAAATTCCAAGCTTGGGCCAGCGGCTAGGCTTTTGGCTCCTCTGACTTTTACGAAACGACCTCCCCCTCTGCCCTAGAAGAAACGTCAGAAAAGGGAGCGGGGCCGGGAAGTCTCAGAAACTCGTGTTCTTTCGGTTTTCAGGGGAAGAGGGGCCCAGTCTTGGCTTCTTGCAGGACCTGTCTTCTGCGCTGCCCCCGCTTACCAGGTAAACTGCCCAGCGCGCCCCGGTTACGCTAGAACTGCTTTCCTTTCAAGGAGGTGGGGAGAAGTCCCTGACTCCTGCAGCTCGGCCATCGATTTTCTGAATAATCTGGAGATGCACGCGCTTTTGGAAGAGTATTTGGAAAACGAACGTCTGCGGGGGACAAGAGCCGCCCAAGCAGCCTGTGCTCCCGAGGGACTGAGCTCAGCTCTGCGGGAACACTGCCCCGGAATCTGAAAGTTGGCTTCTTTTGGGCAAGGTGACCTTGAACAGGTATAATCAGCCTCTGTAGGAAGAGTCTGAGACATCCTTCGGCTCTGGGCAGAGTTCACTTTTCCAGCCTGAGATCTGTGGCTGGGGCCCTGGCGATGAGGGTTGGGAAGGCACCAAGCCCGTAAAAGTGCACACAAAGTGTGTGTGCGCACGGGTGTGTTGTCCGAAGGCTGTGGCCTCTTCAGTTTTTACAAAGGGTCCCGGGGAGCAGTGGAAACCCGGCCATCAGGGGCCCGGACTCAGCCCACCGCCCTGCGCCGGCCCCCTTTGCCCACGGCCAGCCTCTCCAGGAGGGGATGGAAGCCACTTCCTGTCCTCCAGCTGCTAAAGAGCTCCCCCCACTCCCTCTTGGTGCCACAAAGTGGGCAGCAGGCACTCCGTCCACCACCTCAGCGCCCCGTCCACCCCTCCAGCACCCTCAGCTGGGAGCAGGCCAGTCCGCAGTACACTCAGCCTTTCAGAAAAATTCAATGTGCTAGAACACATCCCGGCATTTTCCAAGCCCATTCCATTTTTTATATTTATTTATTTACTTATTTTACTGGGGATCGGATCCAGGGACTTTCATTGAGCTCTATCTGCAGCCCCTTTTTATTTCTCTCTTTTTATTTGTTTTTTTGTTTTTGTTTTTTTTTTTTTTTGGTTTTGGTTTTGGTTTTTCTCCGGTACCAGGAACCGAACTCACGACCTTGCGCTTGCCAGGCAGGCGCTTTGCCGCTGAGCTAAATCCCCAGCCCCCATATTTATCTCTTTTTAAAAAAAATTTACTACAGTGTCTAAATAAGTCGCCCAGGCTGGGCTCGAACTTGTGTTCCTTCTGCCTCAGCTTCCCAGAGTGCTGGGATGACAGGCGTGTGCCACCGCCGCACCAGGGCTCATATCATTTTCTCATCTGTTTTTAAAAGAACATCTCCGGGAGGACTTTGGCTTCATGTTCTGGGGCGAGGGCTGCACCTGTGTGTCTGTGGGATCCTAGGCCCCTCCTGGGCCTGCAGCTGGGCCCAGACCCTGCACCCCAGTGCAGCCTGAGCTAACATCAGGCCCCCCACAGGTTGGGTGGCTGAATAACTTCGAGGTGGTTCTATCCCTTTGTTCCCCTACCCAAAGGAGCCCTATGTAGGCCCCTCAGGTAGACAACAAAACAAAACAAAACCAGAGGTCAATAACTCTGTTCCCAATTATCTCAAATCCAAGGCTTTGAAAAACAATCGATCTTTTAAAGTTTTGGTTTACAGTGTCTGTCGAATCCAGAGCCCCCAGTGTCCAGAGCAGAAAAGAACTAGGGTGAGGAAAGTTACGGCACAGGTAGTTTTCCTTGGGATTTTGAGGCCTTTAGGTAGCCAGACAGGACCCGGTGTCGGTGCCTGCGAAGACGACTATGAATTGCGTTCTCTGTCCCCTGCGGGAGCCCCAACCACCGGCTCCGTTCCCTGGGGGCCTGGCGGCTTATCTCCAGTCCCCTCCTCAGGCACCTGGCAATAAAAGGGCTGGGCAGGGCAAAGTTCTGGCGGCTAGAGGGGCGAAAAACAACCAAACAGAAAAAACAACCAAGCAGAAAACCCGCATTCAGCGGAAAGGTGCAAGCGCAGAGGCCGCAGCAGGGTGTGGCTCCTGCTTCCCGCTTGGGCTGGAGCTTCGAGCCCCCACCTGGGAGCCCTGGGCACAATTGCTCGGGCCCTGGGGAGCCCTGGGAGGCCGGGGGAGGCTCTGATTGATCACTGGTGGTGGAGCAGAGGCTCAGGACCGGGGCATCTGGCTGCTTCTCTCCACGCGGAACGAAGTTTGTGCAAGCCGCTTCTTGGGCTCGTAAATTTGTTTCCCCTTTCTTTTAACCTGCCCCCGGCCGCCTTTCTTTGCAGGCCAGGAGGGGATGTAAACCATTTGAAGTTCATCAACAGGGTGAAGTTTTATTGGATTTCCGGTCCCCAAGATTTATACCCAGGAGGGTGAGGGTGAGGCCAGGCGGACTCCCTCCCTCCTTACCTCGGGTTTCCCTGCCGGACACGTGGCCGCTCAGACTGTCGCCTCTGGGATGGACTCACACTCTGCACCTTGCAACAGAGTTGCATCCAGCGCTGTCGCCGGCCATAGCTCAGGTGAGCACGTAGTGTGTGGAGCACCGGTGTGTGGGTGTCTGCAGAGGTAGGGGCGGGATTGTGGGGACACAGGCTCCAGGCTGCAGGGCAGGAGGAGGGAAAAGCGATCGTGTTCCTGTGTCCTAGTCCAGGTCTTAGCCTGCAAGATCCACCGCAGCTTTGGAACGGGGGCTGGGGATTTAGCTCAGTGGCACAGTGCCTGTCTTGCAAGCACAAGGTCGTGAGTTCAATTCCCGGTACCGGAGAAAAACAAAACAAAACAAAGCAAATTTGGAACAGGCTTTTCTTACCTGGGGGAGCTTAGTGCCCCAGGCGCCCGAGCCTTCACACATTTCTGCGGGGTGCTTTCCCGGTGACCGTCCAACTCACCCTGGTGTCCCCTCCGAACCCCACTTTGCCCTGTGCTTCCCAGGGGCTCTGGTACTTACCGACACTGCCTTTTCCGTCTGTCGCTTCCTTTCTCAGTACCGGGTCGCCCCACTGTCCTGGCGACAGCCCAGTCTCAGAGCTGGGGGATCATGTAGGGTGGAAGATTTGACCTCTCAGAGCCACTCTGGAGGCCAGGTGACCCTGGAGCCGGGACTGGCCAGGTGGCCGGTGCCAGGTGGTACTCCTTGGTCATGGGGAGAGCTGAGAATCCTTCTCATCTGTGGAGAGTTCCCGCTGTGGAGACAGAGGCCAAGCAGGTATCTCAAAGTGGCCCTGCCTGAGCTGGAGTCTCTTGGAAAACAGAAGTTTCTGGAAAATGACCTGCCAGGACCAGCTCCGAGCAGCTGTTACCTGCAGTCCCGGGTCCAGTTCTTCGGACGAGTTGTTCGCTGGCCACTGGGTCTGCGGGAGGAGGTGAGGGAAATAAGTTACAGAGGGGAGTAAGTTCAGCGGTGAGGGGGCCGTTCTGTTCCGTTGGGGCCGCAGGATGGCCGCAGCGGCCGCCCCAGCGAGCCCTGGGCCTGGAGCTTGAACTGGGACTGCTGAGTGGATTAGGTAGTTTGATGTTGTTGGGCCTGGGCTTCTGAACACAACGACATCAAACCACCCGATTCACGGCAGTTACTGCTCCTTGCTTAGCCGGAGGAGTGGGGGTGCAGGGGCTCAGGGCTGGCGGGATGGTTTCCTGGAGAGATCAGGGGAATTTGGGGTGTCTTCTCACTTCTGGACATTTTCTGCATGTTTGGGGCACAAGGGGGTCTTTCCAAAGCCACCTCCCAGGCAGTGGCCAGGTCATTCTGCAGAGCCCAACGTGGGGCTCAGAGCTTCGGGCCTCCTGCTCTGGGGTCCTGGGCTCTTGTCTGTGCTCAGAACCTTCCAGAGACTCCACAGTGCAACTGCAGAGGGGCACACGCGCTTGAAGCCTGGGCTTCCACAGGGACATAGGAGGCCCTGGAGATCTTGGTGACCTTTTGGGGGGACCAGGCTCCCCCTCAGCAGGAAGTTTTAGGTCCTTCAGGAGGGCTCAGTAGGTCCCTTTCGGAGGAAGAAAAACTCAGGATTCTCTGTGACCTCAGCCCACAGGCGCTCAGGTCCGCCTAGGCCCCCTAGTGGGGCAAGTGCTCCAGAGGCAGGTTCAGGAGAGCCGCGTTCTCTGCTAGAGTCCAGTTGCCGCCTCCTCCGCTGGGCTCAGGGCTGGGTTGTGGGCTCCCTCCGGGTCCTCAGGGCCAGGTCCTCGGAGCCGTTCTGAGGGAGGCTCTTGCAGGCAAAGCTGCTAGGCATTCAGCAGAGACTGGTGCCAATCCAGCCGGGGCTGGGCAGGGTGAACCTGTGCTACCCTCTCTGACCCCGGCCCTCTTCAGACTGCTGGCTCGGTGCCCGGCGAAGGAGTCCCTAGAAGCGAAGCGCTGGTGGAAGGCGGGTGGGGGACTCGCCAAAGCATAAGCTAACTTTTGTTCCTCAACTTTCCCCCCTGCCTGAGGCAGAGGAAATATGCGAAGGGGCCCGGAAGAGGCTGGACCGGATGGGGCTCCGGTGGCGCCAGGCTGACTTGGAGGGCCAAGGGGCTCAGGAACAAGGGGCCTCTGCTGGGACTGAGAGGCCCTGGGGGACGCGCTCCGAGCACGAGGAAACGCAGCCTCACCCCACTGTCATGCTGCTTAAGGCCAGCAGCGCTGTCCCCGGGCATTTTGCTGTCTTGGGTCTGGGTCCAGAGGGCAGGGACGCCTCCTCCGCCTTACCTTGCTTCTCCGCTGCTCCCAAAGCTGCTCCAGGCTTGGAGCCATCGCTGGCGTCCCTCGGCCACCCCCTGTCAGGAAAAGTGCTGTAAAAAGAAAAAAGGGGGATGTCCGAGAGAAAGGAGGGAATAAAGCCTTTGGAAAAGCAGAGGGTTTTACGACAGCCACAGGGTTTATGGAAGCAATTCCGTAATAACCTTCTACCTGCTCGCCTCTCTCCGCCCCGCCTGCCGCCCACCCCGTTTGGCCGCCTGGACCCCCCTCCCCAACTCCCAGGAAGTCAGCCACCCCTACCCACCGCCCTGGACACCCTTGAGGGCCAAGAGTCTGTAAGGAGATTCCTTTCGCCTCTGATGTCCTAGGAGAGAGCTTGGCAGAAGATTTCCTTCCTTAATCAGTGAGACGTGCACTCGGGGGACGTGGAAGTAACAGGATTTGAACTGAGGTGTGCACGGTCGGTAGGGTACCTGTTGGGAGGTCCTTTGGGATAAAGGACATCCTGATTTCCCCCTCCAAGGGGACACATGTCCCCGTGCCTCGCTGTTTTCCAGAGTGGCTCCGGGCTCTGGTCCTGGGACAGAAGAAATCTTTATCCTTGAGGTAGGCTGGGGGCTTCTCTAACCTGGTTCTACACAGCCGTGCTCGGCGTGAGCTCCAACAGTCACCTGAGGACTCTCACTCAGTTCACACCTGTTCACCTCGGCCTCACACTCACCCAAGACACACGTGTGCACAAGTAAAGTGCTCCCACGCCCAGGAAATAAGCATCACACAACACACGCTGTCTCTGCCGTGTGGGGCAAGATAATTCAGTAGAGGATTTCATGGTCACACAAAAAAACAAAAAAAGTCACCAGATTTCATGACCTTTCCCCAATCTGGAGTATTTCCTTCATCTCCCAGAGGAAGTCATAATAGAATCCAGCCTGAAGTCAGACAGGCGTTTGCTTGAGACAGTATGGTGTACGTTCTTCTTCCCCACCCCACATCAGCTAATATTTCATAGCCACAATTCAGGTACACAAACAGCCAGGTTTTTGGCTTCTCCCTACGTGTGCAGATGATTATAAAAATGTACATACGAGCTTCTGGGCCATGGATCTTAATGTGGTCAGAATGGTTCATCTGTACCCATCACAGAGGTTACACGCCTGTGCACTTATGCAAGATTAGATCCCCTAGGCCAGCGCCCAGGGACATGGAGTGTTAGAACTGTGCAGACCTGTTCTGCGCACAGCATGGAGCACATAGGTGCGCACACACACACACACACACTGGGATTTGAAATAGACACACAGGATATATTTATCTATGCAAATACAGCATGCATCCCTTTTAGCTTAGCTTAATAATTTAACAAACAAACTGTTTCCCCCTTTTCTTGCGTTGTTTGGCCTTTTTCTTCTCTCTCCCATTTCCTTCCCGCCCTCTAGATTTTCTCCCTTCTCACTGCCAAGGACCCTGATCAAGCCTCCCCCAGAGCACACCACTCACCCGCTGGTTCCCGCCGGTGGCCAGCGACAGCCTCTGCTCTTCAGGCCTGGCTCCTCTGCTGCTGGCTGCTCAGGGCCCCAGCGTGGCCAGGGCTGCCGCTTGTCCTGTGTGCTCTTCCCAGCTTCCCGGCCCCAGGCCCCAGCTGTGCTCAGGCTCGGGCAGGCTGCACTGCAGCACTGCCAGGGCAGGCAGGGTTTTCCTTCTTTCTCTTTAGGACTGGGGGTGGGGTGCACAGCAATTCTGCTCTCTCAGGACGGAGGGCCCCCGTGGAAGTGACCCCCTCCTTGGAGTCTTTAGAAGAGGAGCTTCAGGGTCTCCCTGTTTGCTCCCTTCATGGTGGGTGCCATTATGTGGGGAGAAATTTAATAATGTTTGTGGGGGTCCCGGGGTTCTCAACATCTAGGCAAGGGGCGCCCTTTCAGTGATCATTTTAATAATTTGCCTGAGCTGGAGTTGAACTCCAGCTTGGGCCCGGTTTTCCTTTTGAGGGGGGCTTGTTTCCTGGTTCATCCACACCACCACCCAGAAGGCTGTGAGGTGGGGAGCAGGCCCCAGGGACTGGGGGGCAAGTTCATGCTCTCCCCTCTAAAATCACTGCTTAGGAGAAGACCCAGACCTCCTTAACCTGTCATTTTCAAATTGTCCCTGTCCTCCACTTCTAAGGGAAGAAGGGCACCCAGGAGCCCCGGGAATTCGGGACAGCTCCCCAGGCAGGTGGTGACCTACAGACCTGAGAGGGGTCTGCTGGAACGGCTCCCTCCCTCCTGCTCAGCGCAGCCTGGGACTGAGATGCTTTTCGTTCTCCAAGTTCTCCCTATGCGAGGGCGGCCCTGGACCTCCAGACAGGCGGCCCCAAAGTCAGGGCCGGGGCAGTGGAAGCCAGGAGGGCAGGGCGGCAGGCAGGGCCCGGTGCCTGCGCAGCTTGGGTTCTTAAGGACAGCCCAGCACTATGACTCTTCCATAAATAAAGAGCCCGGGCCCACAGTTCGCATGTCCTTTTGGGCCCTAATTTATACGCTACAGAAAATCGTACACTCGGCCGCCATGCTTCATAACACCGTTATTTATGGCAGGGGAGGAGATTTTTTTTCTTTGCCTGAAGAGTATATTTATTACAGGTAAAGGCCGCTGCACACTCCGTAAGGCTGGAGGATCGAGAACAGGTGCTTTGCCTGAGTTGTGATCCACTGGCTCTGCACCCAGCCTCTGGCTGGCGAGCCTGGGGAGCTCTCTGACTTTCCTAAGCGCCCAAACGCTACTTAGAAGAATTTGCATTGGATTTTGGTCCCCCGCCACACACTTGAGTCCTATGGAAAAAGCAGATCTTCACGCTGTTTGGTTCCGGATCTGCTGGGCTGTAGCCCTCCGCGGAGAGCGGGGGTGGGCTAGGAGGGGGCCGGCTGGGCGCCAGCATTGATCTTTAAAAAATCATTTTGAAATCGCCATAATGTGAAGAAATATGGCGCTGCGCCCTCGTATTTCACACGTAATGACACGAGATGGCTTCATTTGGTAAGGAAAGCGGGCGGGAGTGTGTCTGTGCGCGTCCGGAGGTGACCCGCAGCCTTCTAGGGTAGAGGGGCAACTGCCACAAGGATCAGACCCCAAGTTAGAATGGCCCCGCTTTTGTTGAAAGGACTCGGGTGGGGGGCTGGCGAGACGGTGCCTCGGAGGGCAGCCTGCCTTCCAGTGGCCCGGAGTGAGGGAATTGGCTAGAAATCTGCACCTAAACCCAGCGGAGGGAGCCCTGCGTGTCTAGGGACGCTGCCTCCCCAGCTGCAGGCCAGGAGAAGCGACTGCACCCAGGGCAGAAACTGGAGGAGTGGCTTCCGGGAGAGGAACCAGGACGCCAGGCGGCGGCCGCGAGGGAGACCCTGCGCAGGGCCGCGGAGTGGATTCTAATCAACCGACTATTTGGAAGCTGGGGTGGCGGGGGAGGCGGGTCCTGCGAAGGGAAGGCAGCGGCAGATGGGGGAAAGCCTGACCCTAGGGCTTGGAGGTCTGCGCTGGTGCCTAGGCCGGCATTAGCATTCGAAGCCCCCCAGGGCGGCAGCAGCCCAGGGTGCAAAGAGCGGCACAGGAGGGTCTCAGAGTTGGCCTGGGCTCCCCGTGTGGAGGCGAGAGATCTGGGGACCCTTTCCCCTTCCTATGCCCCTGCTCCGGGCACACCTCAGGGGAGCTCCCTTAGCGCTCTCTCATACTGAGCTCCCTCCCGCGGGCAATCCGAGCGTCCTGGAGGGTTCATCTGGAAGGAAGGCGGAATAGTTGAGTACCCAGCCAGCCACAAAGGCCCAGGGAACTGAAAAAAAAGAGTTAAATGCAAGGACTTGGCTTAGTTATATTAACTCTTCCGTAGACCCCAGTTTCCGAGGCCTGGAGAAGCCGTTTGACCTCAGCAGGGTCCAGTTTCAGAACACACATCGGATCCTTGGACACTGGCTCCATTTCCTCTCCCTCAGCTACTGAAGGGTGTGTGTGTGTGGGGGGGGAGTTCCCAGTACATCCCCCCAAGTCGCACACGGCGCCCCTCCAGAGAGGACAGCGTCCTATAAAACCCCAATTTCTCCCCATCCTCTTTCCTGCATCTCCTGTGGCTAGCTGGCTGCTGCTGTTGTTTAATAAACATCTTCTGTCAAGGGGACAGAGGAGAGGAAATGAGGGCCTGCGGGGTGGAGGTGGAGGTGTTGGGGGGGGACCGGGCGACCTCTCCTCTAATTATCCTGCAGGGCCTTTCTGGCTGCGCCCCGGGCTGGGGCTCGCTCCCTCCGTCTCTGTCTCTCTCTCCCTCTGCGCCCTCCCTCCCTCCCGCCCGGGGAGCGCGCTCCGCAGCCCCCGCCTCTCTCCGCCCCCGCGCCCCACGCCGAGACCCCCCTTTCCTGCGAAGGCGGGAGGGGGCGGCCGGCGCCCGGGCTGAGGTTACGTGGCCGCCGGAGCCCTGACGTGATAGCACATTGCATCAGCATAAAACAATCCATCCTCGATATGGAGCGCGGTGCGCACGGATGACAGCGCGAGCGCAGCCCCCGCGCCCGATTGATTGATGTCGGAGCTGACGCTTTATCAGGCTGTCGGAAAAACTTTGACCAATCATTTTGCACGGAGCGCCGAGCCGGGTCGCTCCACTGTACTTTGTTGGCTGAGAAGTTGAGCCGGGGGTGGTGGTGGGGGTGGGAGGTGGGGGGCCGGGGGGTCGCGTCCGAAAGCCCTCGCCCCGGTCCGGGTGCCACCTTCCTTCTCCGCCTGCTCGGGCGCCGCCGCGCCGCTGCGAGCGAGCCAGAGAGCGCTCCCTTCCTCCCCCTACGAGCGGGCGCGCGGATAATGTCTGAGAATGTCCATTTCTGGGACGCTTAGCAGCTATTATGTCGACTCGATCATAAGTCACGAGAGCGAGGACGCGCCTCCAGCCAAGTTCCCCTCCGGCCAGTTCGCGGGCCCGCGGCAACCGGGCGCCGCCGAGCACCTGGACTTCCCGTCCTGCAGCTTCCAGCCCAAGGCGCCCGTGTTCGGCGCGTCCTGGGCGCCGCTGAGCGCGCACGCGTCGGGGAGCCTGCCGCCCGTGTACCACCCGTACCTGCAGCCGCAGGGCGCGCCGGCCGCCGAGGGCAGGTACCTGCGCACCTGGCTGGAGCC